CTTTGTAAATCCTTTTCCATGTCTGTAATAGTCATTAGTTTTAATGACCCGAAAGTTCTCCAGTTTATTTATTTGTAATCTCTACACCAGTGTGGAGCTTGAAGTCATGACTGTGAGATCCAGAGTCATGTGCTCTGCCAACTAAGCCAGCCAGGCACCCCATAATGACAGCAAAAGTGCTAATAATTTTATGTCATACTTAATTTATTCCCCTATAATTATATGTTTTCCATTTTTAAGTACTGTGTAATGTTGCTGTAAATAGAATATGTATATATATATATTTCTTCTTTTGAATTATTTTCTTGAAATATATTTAATTGTGATTTCTTGGCAGAAATAAACAGATATTATACATTTACTATTCTATGGAATTTTTGGTTTTGCAGAAACAGCCTGTGGCCTAAAACTTTTGAGAATGGTTGATATCTATAATAAGTCAGCAAAAATTTTAATGTCTTTACAGTGATCAAAAGTTATATTAAATGCACTTTTGCCTTTCAGACTTTACAATTTGAGTGGGCAGGCTAACCAATTTGCCCTTGGAAAGGTAATGCATGTCAGCAAATGAATTCCAAATTAAAAAATGCAGTGAAGTGTGATATGTGAGCATGTGATCTGTTAGGCAATGTGATAAATGCTTTATCTAGGTTTTATTTAATTACCAAAAGAGCCCTATGAGATAGCTCCATTTTGCAGACGAGGTTTAGGTTTTTCAGAGAGGTTCTGTAACTTGTCCAATGTTGCACAGCTAATAAGGTGTTGGAGATGAAGTGTAGACTCCAGAGCCCATGCTTCTACCCATTCCATAAGGGAAATTACACCACTTGTGGGAAGGATGGATCTGAGAGGCTTCTCAATACCAACTATCTCTTAATTGGGGGTTTTTGTTTTACAATCTGTATTTGAAAGGACTTAAGAAAATTATGAAGTAAACTGGATGCAACTTCATCAATACATGAGGGCTTTTTTTTTTTTTTAAGTATAGTTGACATACAATGTTACATTAGTTTCAGGTGTACAATATAGTGATTCCACAACTCCAAATTATGCTGTGTTAAAGATGAGGATCCTAGGTGGAAAAATTTCCTTTCCACATGGCTAACTATCAAATGCCTTTTAATAAGTAGTTGTGTGGAGTGACAGACCTTCCAGCCAAATCAAGCAAGCAGAACCCGTGTCCTCTAGAGACCTATCCATGTGACTATGCAGAGGACATGGATGTTTGAACAATGACCCAAGAGCAAATGCATTACAAGGCAAGATAAAATATTTACTCTGTATCAATCAGGCATTGGACTTTTCCACCAGAGCAGGCTTGAGAGGAAAAGGAAGAAGTCTTCCTGGAAGCAGTGGGAGACAAAAGTGAAGAATGGATGATGGATGCTACTCTGGGTTTAACTTTAGAGAGCAAAGATAGAAGGTCTGAGATAGAAGGATGGATGCTACTTTGGGTTTAACTTTAGAGACCAAAGATAGAAGGTCTGAGGAGTGGGGCCAATTCCAGTCCAAGTTTTACTGGCCTCTTGCCTGGGACTATGTCTAACTCACCAATCAGAGGCCAGCCTCTTATTTCACCCGATGTTGGTCATCTTCTGCCCACTGGCCCAGGGTGGCCCACTGTCCTGGGATGCAGAGACAGGCTGTGTGGCAAGTTCCTCCTTTGATGGGCATAACAGCCGGATCCTGTTATCTCCTGGCAAAGGTACTGTGTTCAGACCTCCCTGTGTCCCCTGCACAGTTGAGGAGGCATCAGGTTTGTCTTGTGATGGTAGAACTCCTTCCTAGCAGCATTCTGGAGGAAAATTCCATCAATGCCTTCTAGATTTCAATGTGTCCTCTTGGCTTTATCCAATATACTTAATACATAGTAATCAGTCTGCAATATCCCAACAGTAAATTCCACTGCCAGTAACTCCATCCTCTGGCTTGTGTTTCGCTGCAGTGCATCATCACGTGGCTCTTACTTAGGCTCAGAGACGTGTGCACAAGTCTCTTTCTTCAAAATTCACTTTGTTTATTCAACACTTATAAATCACTGACCATGTACCATGCACTATTCTGTTTTTCTTTTTTTTTTTTTTTCAACGTTTATTTATTTTTGGGACAGAGAGAGACAGAGCATGAACGGGGGAGGAGCAGAGAGAGAGGGAGACACAGAATCGGAAACAGGCTCCAGGCTCCGAGCCATCAGTCCAGAGCCTGACGCGGGGCTCGAACTCACGGACCGCGAGATCATGACCTGGCTGAAGTTGGACGCTTAACCGACTGCGCCACCCAGGCGCCCCTATTCTGTTTTTCTACTATAGTAACTCATTTAATCTTCACTACAATTCCATGAGGTGTTACTACTATTTAGCAGATGAGGCACAGAAAGGTTAAGCAATTTGTTTGATGATGCACAGCTAGGAACTGGCAAAACTGAGGTTCAAACCTAGGCAGGTGGACTCCAGGGTCCCTGATCTTAACCCCTGAACTATGCTGTCTCCAGGAGACCTTCAGAGTGATCCCTGATGGATGTCTGTTAATATCATGAGAAGGACATAAAGCTCAAGGGAGGGCAAGGGAGGCATAGCCTCAGAAGTATAGCTGATCAAGAGATGTAGAGGTGTTTTAAGAAGAAACTTACATTGCCCAGGAGGCCCAGACACCCTCTCCCCAATTTAATGAGTGTTGGTCTCCGTTTGTGCCAAACCATTAATTTTTGCCTGCTGACAGTGGTTGCGGATTGCCTTCTTTCTGCGGCCCTTAAGTCTGGATTTTTAAGTAGGCTTTATTTACAAAGGAGTTTGCAGTATTAACTGTGTGATGTTCTCCTGCCAAATAAACTCTTCTTAGTCCTCTGCCTTCCAGACATTTCAACTAATAGAAATGCCAAAGCCGTTGCCCAACACACATGTACAACACCATGAAGGCCTTGTCTCTCATGCTTCTGGAGAAGGTGCACAGAATTCACATTGTAATCAGCTGGCAATGCTGTTGCAGAGCTCCTGGGGTCAAGATTGTCCACAAAGGGTTGCTTGGAGCAGGCAGTGCCCTAAAGAATTTGCCCACTTATAAAGGGCCTTTGTCATCTGATATTTGTGTAATTTATTTTTTTAAGGAAACATTTTTTTCACATGTATTATTTTATGGGATCCTCCAAACAATCCCATAAGGTAGAAGTTTGGGAAGAGATTATAGTCTTCATTTGGGAGAGAGGAAACTAAGGCACAGACAGGTGACTTGCCCAGGGTCACTCACTAAGGATGGCAGAGCCAAGGTTTAGTCTCAGCTCGACTGCCTTTGGCAAGTCACAGTATCTCTCTGGGTCTTGCTTTTCTTACCTATAGAGTAATGGTATTGGAATAGGGGCTCTGTAATTGTCTTTTCAACTCAACCATTGTGTAATACTGAAATTCAGAAGAATCCTTTTCCCTGAAAGATCTGGTTATCAAGACTCCTGAATTTCACATTTCCATCTGTCTTATTTGTGTCCATCCTGGGATAGGACTTCATTATCTCCCGGTGAGCAGGGAGTGTATCTCTCCTATCTCCCTCCTTATACTATAGAGCGTTTTTTTGGAAGGGCTCTCTCTCCTATGCTCCGTAGGGACATCATTATATTAAGGAGGCAGAATACTGTTATAAGTGTAACAATGTATTTGCCTCAAAACCTGTGGCTTGTAACTTTTCAGTGCCCTTGATGATGATAATGATAGCTGAAATCAATACAGCAGGTACCATGAGTCGGGAACCGTACCAGATGGTTGACGTGTATTATCTTATTCTTCAAAACCACCTGAAGACATACGTATTGTTATCATTATTGCCACATTATGGAATGGACAGATTGGAGAAGTAGAAGAATTTACTCAGGATCACATACCTGATTAGGCAATGGACTCTGGATTCAATCCCATGCAATCTGTCAGCAGCGCTTAACTGCTACACCACACCCCATGGCTTCTCCTAGGAGAAAGGGGGATTGTACTTGGCACACATTTTATTTCCTTTAAAAACTTACTATGTAATATTTAAGACAGAAAAAAAGTCACATTATGCAGATAGTGTTTCCTCATTAATTATATATATCTCTGTATCTATTTATCTCTTTCTTCTGCTGCATGCCAAACACTGTCCTAGCATTTGGGATGTAGCAACAAATTCCTCCAGACAGACAGGGTCAGGAGGGAATTAAGGCAATATTAGAAAAGTCAGTAAGAGTTCATTATCCAGTGTCACCTATGTGTCCAGCATTATGCTCAGCAAGCGTAACTAAAATATCAGAAGACCCTTCTCAGAGGAAACCACAGAAAGCGACTTAGTTTGGCTTAGAAACTAAGTTTGACTTAGAGCAGAAGGAAGTCATTAAGTTTGGTACAAAGAAATGAATCTGTTTACAAGGACAAGGTAAAAAAAAAGAATGCCATTATTTAGAACTGTATTTTGTAAGCATCACAGGCAAAAAGCAGCTAGGGTGGTGGTTTTGTGTAGTGGAAAAGGCTCTATCCCAGGAGTCAGTCACCCTTTAATCAATCAAGCACTTTCTGATAAGGTGTGGATGCTACTGAAAACCAGGTAGACAGGTCGCTGCCCTCCTGGAGATTATAGTCTGGTGAGAATAATCCCGTCTTGAGTCACTGCCAGGCTCTAATGTGACCTTGGAAAAATAACTTCTCCTGCCCCAATTCTGCAAAATAAATGGGGTCAGACTAGCGGATCTACTCCTCAAATTCTGAGCCCCAGGCGTATCTGCTGTCGCGGCGCCCTGGGGAAGGTGGGCTAGGCTCCCTGGCCCTGCGCTGCAGCCTGCCGGACGCCGGGGGCGCCGCGCGGGCCCTGAGAGCGTTCGCGTTCCGAAAGCGCTTGTCCCTCGCGGCGCCCCGTCGGCCCCGCCGCCGCTGCCGCCGCCGCCCGCGGAGCCGGAGGAGGCGGAGCTGGCGCTGTCCTGGCTCCCGAGCAGGGAAGCAGCAGAGGAGGCGGCGCGGCGGGCCCCGGCCGAGGCTCGGGCGGGGCGGCGGGGGAGGCTGGCAGCGGCGCCGGTAGCGCGGGGAGAGGGGCGCCGTGGGCTGAGCGCTCCCGGCGAGAGGAGTCCGCTCCATGCGTGCGGGCCGAGCCCGGCCCCTGCGAGCCGCCGACATGAAGAAAGACGTGCGGATCCTGCTGGTGGGAGAACGTGAGTCCGCGCACCGGGGCCGGCCGCGGCCACCGCAGCCCCTGCCGCCCCGGGCCTGCTCGCCCCTCTCCGCGCTCTCGGGCCTCCCAGCCCCTGCTCTTCCCTTTCGGCAGCCCGCTGGCGGCCCTCAAGCTCTCACCTCACCCTGGGCCCTCTTAACACATCCCGACCCTGACCCCCAGTCGTCCTCTCGAGCCTTGTCTCTGTGAGTCTCTGACCGCCAGCCTCATCTCTCCGAAGGTCCTCTCCTCCTTCCTCCTTTTCCGCTTCGAATCCTTTCCTCCTGGGCCTCAACGCGTTTCCGAGGCCGCTTGCCTTTCAGACCCTTTTCTCTTCGTGGAGAGTCCCTTGTCACTGCCGGGCAGGTGCTGAAACAGGCCGACTGACCAATTGGGATGGTGTGAACTGGCTCCCGGGGAAGCTAGGGGGAGGGGGACGCAGGACTGTTCGACTTGCGGACAAGGTCAGGTTTCTGCCTTTTTTTTTTTTTTCTTTCTTCTTTTTTCTTTTTTCTTTTTCTTTTTCTTTCTCTTTCTCTCTTTGTCTCTTTCTTTCCTTCTTTTCTTCTTTCTTTCACGTTCGCAGTCTTCCCACCCTCTGGCATTGACTTCATGGTAGGGAGCGTTTTTAGAGATACTTGCACTTTACATTGGAATAACTTCTGTTATGCTCGCTGTTTCCTCAAAAATTTACTCTCAAGTTCAAGTTATACAAGTTACACAAGTGCTTAATGAATGAATAATTATCTGGGGAGGGTTCTTTAGTTGAGAGAATTATTCTTACCCTAAAGCCTAATTTACTCCCCTCTTTTTAAGCATTATTTATTCCGTAGTTTGGTAATTATTTTATAAATAACAGGCACACAGGAAAACAGACACATGCACATACACATAAGACCCCCTAGAAATTCTTAGATTTCACCCTTTTAAGATATAATAAAGGAGAAATGCCTCTGTTTACTGACTTGGGGACAGGACAACAGGGACTTCTTGATATCACTTGGCTGGTTACATGACTCATTTGGTAGGACTAAAATAAGAAAGTGGGCTGGGAGAACTGAATTGTTTGTTTGTGCATTAGTTAATGCTCTGCCATTGCTGTTTTGAAGCATTCTTTTCCAAACTCCATTTCAGCCTAGAGTAGCCCCTCCAGGTCACTGTGATACACTCCCAAGGAAGAAAGCTAACACATTTTTACCCTTCTCTGTAGTGTTCTTTGATATTCATTGAAGTCTCTGTTCATCTGCTCTGTGGAGAAGTCTTTAGAATCAGAATTTGGAAGTAAGCTTGGCCTGACACTGTTGTCTTTTGGGTTTGCAGTTGTGAATTTTAGTCTTTATTTATTATTGTATCTTAATCTGTATTTTGCATCAGTTTCCTTGACAAAGTTCAGGAAGGTGTTACTTAACATGTGATTCATAGCTGATGCATTTGGAATATGGTAGGGAAAGTGAGTAGACGAGCCACTTAAAAAGCTGATCCTTAACTGTCATAAAATTGTTTTATAGTATGGTGATTGTAATACTAATGTTCTAAAAGCAGAAATCCTATGTTTTGGTTTTAGTTTTAGGAAGCGTATAATTCGTCTGTGAAACATCTAAATGGAAATGCTATATATACGTAAGATATATTGACAGCCTTAGGGCATTTAAGTTAAAACGTTAACAGTATTACTTATTTAGAAATACACAAAAGAACCAAAAATTTGTTGAGAAAACTAAAAGCCATGTTCTGCAGATATGAAAGCAAACAGGAGAGTTGAGAAAAGTGTGCATGCAAGAGTGTTTTGATTATAGGGAGTTACCTGACCTAAGAGAAAGTCTTAGTTTTTGAGGAAGGCATTTTTCTTGAAAAGGTTTGTACCAAAAGCTTTAGGCCAGCTACCATATATATAATTTTTTTCACATTTAAAAATATTAGGATTATATTTTTGTGAAGTATGTAATTTTAGTGAGTTATATTAAAGGTTGGTATTTTGGGAGGAAAAAGTTGGAAAGATTAGTTTTCTTTTTTTTAAATTCATTTTGAGAGGGAGAGAGTGCGCACGTGTGTGTACTTGTGCAACTGTGTGCACATGATTGGGGGGGGGGGCAGAGAGAGAATCCCAAGCAGGCTCCAAGCTGAGCAGCACACAGAGCTCAAAACCATGAACTGTGAGATCATGACCTGAGTTGAGATCAAAAGTTGATGGATGTTCAACCGACTGAGCTGCCCAGGTGCCCCAGAAGCATTATTTTTTGAGATTTAATGTAAATATTTGTTAGCTTTAGCCTAGCTGCCCCACTTTAAATGCTAGGTAAACATAACTGCGACGAAGGCTATTTTAATACTGGTCTAACACATGAATTTATCTGGAAAACCACTTTTTTTTTTTTTAATTTTTTAACGTTTATTTATTTTTGAGACAGAGAGAGACAGAGCATGAACGGGGGAGGGTCAGAGAGAGGGAGACACAGAATCTGAAACGGGCTCCAGGCTCTGAGCTGTCAGCACAGAGCCCGACGCAGGGCTCGAACTCACAGACTGCGAGATCATGACCTGAGCCGAAGTTGGCCGCCCAACCGACTGAGCCACCCAGGCGCCCCTGGAAAACCACTTTTTTAGGTAGAAGTGGCAGTAACTTAGTTGTCATTTTAAGATGGTTAATTAAGAGAAATGGGAAAAGCAAACAAACAAACAAAATCCCCACATCATTTCTGGTATTATTGTAGAGCCTGTTCTTTGCTTTCACTTCAGTACATCTTATTGCTGTTAGCATCTGTCCCAGAACCACACAGCAGCTGCTTCATTCACTGAAGCTCCCAAATAGTTGTGAATGGTTTCAACATTCTCTTGGCTAAACCTATAATGTCCTCCGAAGGTGAAACAGATCTTTTTTTGGCCCATCCAGAATCTGGATTCTGATCCATCCAGGCTTAAATGCTAACTGATGCTTACTGTCTGTTTAGTGCTTAGATCAAAGAAGTTAGATTGTCTATGAATTTTAAGGTAATTATTTGCAGAGAAAGCCAAAGTGTTTTAAAGATCATTTGCACCTTATCTTAATTATTGAACACAGTGAATACCATTCAGGCCATGTTAAAAGTCAGTTGCCATTCTTGAAACAAAACAAAATTTTTAAAATCATTAAAAATGCAAGCATGCAAAACAGTTCTCAGGTTATGATTTTTCATGGTCAGATTCTTTGGCCAGAATTTGTGTTTAACGATGTTTGCGTTAGTATGCTTAACAAATGTCCTTGTTGCAATAAAATTAGCATGAGCCTTAATACCCTTTTATCTAAATCATGTAGGTACGTTAAAATTACACAAGATTTAGTTTTAGTGAAGTGTTGTTTTTAAGTTGAGATATGTTTGTCTTCTGATCAAACTCATTAAGAAAGTGGAACTGTTACCCTCTTTTTGAATGAATCTGGTCAGAGGCACCTGGGTGACTCGGTTGGGCATGCGACTTCAGCTCAGGTCATGATCTCACAGCCCGTGGGTTTTTTTGTTTTCTTTTAATTTTATTTTTTATTTTTTAAGATTTACATCCAAATTAGCATATAGCGCAACAATGATTTCAGGAGTAGATTCCTTAGTGCCCCTGACCCATTTAGCCCATCCCCCCTCCCACAACCCCTCCCGTAATCCTCAGTTTGTTCTCCATGTTTATGAGTCTCTTCTGTTTTGTCCCCCTCCCTGTTTTTATATTATTTTTGTGTCCCTTCCCTTATGTTCATCTGCTTTGTCTCTTAAAGTCCTCATAATGAGTGAAGCGATAGGATTTTTGTCTTTCTCTAATTTCACTTAGCATAATACCCTCCAGTTCCATCCACGTAGTTGCAAATGGCAAGATTTCATTCTTTTTGATTGTCAAGTAATAACTCCATTGTATATATATACCACTTTTTCTTCATCCATCCATCGATGGACATTTGGGCTCTTTCCATACTTTGGCTATTGTTGATAGTGCTGCTATAAACATGGGGGTGCATGTGTCCCTTTGAAACAGCACACCTGTATCCGTTGGATAAATGCCTAGTAGTGCAATTGCTGGGTGGTAGGGTAGTTCTATTTTTAGTTTTTTGAGGAACCTCCATGCTGTTTTCCAGAGTGGCTGCGCCAGCTTGCATTGCCAACAGCTCATGGTTTTGAGCCCCGCCATCAGGCTCTGTGCTGACAGCTCTGAGCCTGGAGCCTGCTTCGGATTCTGTGTCTCCCTCTCCCTCTGCCCCTCCCCTGCTCGCTTGCTCTCTCTCTCTCTCTCTCTCAAAAATAAACAAACACTAAAAAAAAAAGTTTAAATGAATCTGTCACTCTTACCCAATGTCTAACTGATTAGCTTATCATCGAAACTAGTTGAAGCCACTACAAGCTTCGATTGGCTCTGGCCTAGGCTTTTGTAATATCTCCTTAACCAGTCTCCCTCCTTCTAATTTTGTCCATTCTCTATGTAGCAGGTAATCATCTTTAAAAAAATATCTCAGATCCTGTTACCTGTTTTTAAAATTCTTTGATGATTTCTCCTTTCACTTAGAAGAAAGTCCAGACTTCTTTATGCAGGCCTGCAGACGCCATCACAGTCTGGCCCTTGCTTCACTCTTGTAGTGCTGTCTACTGCTTTCTCTACAAGAAGGCCCTGACTCAGGCAGTTCTTGTGTGCATATTTGTTCACTTGTCTTTTGGGCTGGAAAGTAAGCTTCATGAGGGTGGTGGATTTGCCTCGTTTTATTGCTGTATACCCCGTGCATGGAATAGGCCTGTCACAAAGTGAGCACTCAAATACAGTTGACCTTAGGTGGCTTAGTTGATAAGCGTCTGACTCTTGATTTTTGACTCCGGTCGTGATCTCATAGTTGTGAGGTTGAGCCCTGCATCGGGCTCATGTTGGGCGTGGAACCTGCTTAAGATTCTGTCTCCCTCTTCCTCTACTCCCCTACCGCATGAGTGCTCTCACTCTCAAAAAAAAAAAAAAAAAAGTCAAATACAGTTGACCCTTGAACAACATGCAGTTCAAACT